CATCTCAAAAAAAAAAAAAAAAAAAAAATAGGCCAGGTGCAGTGGCTCACCCCTGTAATCTCAGCACTTTGGTAGGCCAAAGTGGGTGGATCACCTAAGGTCAGGAGTTCAAGACCACCATAGCCAACATGGTGGAACCTTGTCTGTTTACTAAAAGTACAAAAATTAGCCAGGCACGGTGGTACAATCCTGGCTACTAAAGAGGCTGAGGCAGGAAAATCGCTTGAACCTGGGAGATGGAGGTTGTAGTCAACTGAGGTCGCACCCCTGCACTCCAGCCTGGGCAGCAGAGTGAGACTTTGTCTCTTAAAAACACCCCCCCGACACACACAAAATAATAATAAAATAGTGATTAAAAGTATAGTATAGTAAATATGTAAACCAGTAACATAGTTGTTTATTATTATCAAATACAGGTTGAGCATTCCAGGTCTGAAAAATCTAAAATTTGAAAATCCAAACCTTGGGCCGGTGTAGTGGCTCACGCCTGTAATCCAGGCACTGTGAGAGACCAAGGCAGACAGATCATGAGATCAGGAGTTTGAGACCAGCCTGACCAACTTGGTGAAACCCTGCCTCTACTAAAAATAAAAAAATTAGCTGGGCATGGTGGTGTGTGCCTGTAATCCCAGCTACTACTCAGGAGGCTGAGGCAGGAAATCACTTGAACTCAGGAGGCGGAGATTGCAGTGAGTTGAGATGGTGCTGTTGCACTCCAGCCTGGGCAACAGAGCGAGACTCTATCTCAAAAAAAAAAAGAAAAGCCAAACCTTTTTGAGCACTGATATGATGCTTCAAAGAAATGCTCATTGGAACATTTTGGGTTTCAGATTTTTTGATTTGGGGTACCAACTTATAAGCATATACAGTGCAAATATTCCAAAATGTGTAAAAATCTGAAATCCAAAACACTCCTCCCAAGCATTTCAGATAAGGGATACTCAACCTGCATTGTGTACTGTGCATGATTGTGTGTGCTATACTTTGATACAACTGGCAACACAATAGGTTTGTTTACACCAGCATCACCACAAACGCATTAGTAATATATTGGACTGTGGATATTACGATGGCTATGAAGTCATTAGGTGATATGAAATTTTTAGCCCAATTATAATCTTATTGGACCACTGTCATGTATGTAGTCTATTGTTGACCACAACAGTTATGTGGCACATGTCAAGATTTCTGGTAAATAGCTGTTTTTCAGGGAATTATTTGTGAGCCTTAAAATTGGTTTCCCTTATTCCTTGTTATTCAGCTGGTTGTGCTAAGAAATGTTATGATACTTGTTTGGCAGATTCTTAATAGACAGTTTCTGTCCCTTTTCTCTTTGTGGATTTTCAACAAATATGAGCATCTCCTACTTTCCAGACCTTGTGCTAGGCCTTGAGGATACAGCTGTCAACAAAACAAAGTTCCTGTCTTCACAGAGTTTGTATGAGAAAGATAGGCAATAAACAAATACATGTCAAGTACTGATGAGTACTGTGATTAAATCAGAGTAAGGTATAAAAAGTGATATATCTAAAATGTGGCGTTATTATGCACACCTTCACAAAAAAACCGTATCAGCATAGTATGATCTCAAATATGTAAGCAAAAAATACTAGGAATAAAGGCTATTAAAGAAGTATGCTGAAATATTCATAGGGGTTATTCCCGATACTGAGATTTAGGGATAATTTTTTAATTATACTTTTATATATTTTTCCAAAGTGTTCGTTACCTTTATGGTTGGGGAGGAAGCGGTACTATTGAGGTAATGTTTGTGTCTAAAGCCTGGTTCTGCTGGCTCGTAGCTCCTGTTGTGCACTAAGAGGAAGAAAATCACCTGCATGGTTTCTCTAAAAGTGTTTCTGGAACTCCCCCCAGCAGTTGTCTCATGCATGATCTGAACAAGTTCAACTCAGTGAGTCCTTCCGCTTTCTGAACAGGCGTCTGTCTCCTATCAACCAGGATCAGTATCTGAGAAAGTTACTTGTCATTCTTCTAAGATTTGTTCTTTCCCCAGTGTTTAGACCAGTGCTAAATAGGTCATTTATGAGGAAAGTGTAGAAAAACTCTTTGGTAAGATACTATGTATTCTAGAAATGTCATTTTTAAAATTAATTTTGTTTACAATATATGCTTCACCATATTCCAGTCATCTGACCTAACTCAGGCTATTGCATATATGTGACTTGTAAAGGCTGTGGGACAGGACAGAAAAGGCATGAAGCAAATGTTCAGTCAGGGAGAGCATCTTCACCCCACTCAGGCTGTGCCTCAGCTACCTCAGCATCAGAAATAACGGGCCAGGCACGGTGGCCATCAGCACTTTGGGAGGCTGAAGCGGCAGATCACTTGAGATCAGAAGTTTGAGACCAGCTTGGCCAAAATGGTAAACACAAAGAAAGAATTAGCTGGGTGTGGTGGCACACACCTGTAGTCCCAGCTACTTGGGAGGCTGAAGCACAAGAATCACTTGAACCTGGGAGACAGAGATTGCAGTGAGCCGAGATTGTGCCAGTGTACTCCAACCTGGGTGACACAGTAAGACTCTATCTCCTATGATGAGGCTGGTCCCTAGGCTGAGGACTCAGCAGATATGTATCAATGAAAAGGTTCTTTTACAGCTAGAGTTGTCGGATTTCCTGTTAACTCTGAACCTCTCAGCATCCTCTTCAGGATCAGAGTTGCTGGTGTATCCCTTAAAGGCCTGGTTTTTCTATGCTTCCACCCACTCCACTTTAGGCTACCCCTTGTCTACTGCTGTCTTGGTGACAAAATGTTTGGGACAAAGCAGACAAAAATAGTGTGTCTTCTTTGCCTCTCTTCTTTTTATGTCCAGGATATACACATTTTTAGAAATATGGGCACACTTTACACATTCAAATAGGTGGGTGGGCACACTTTGGTTTTAATAATAGTTTGAGGATAACTCTTTTTTTTTTTGAGATGGTGTCTTGCTCTGTCGCCCAGGCTGGAGTGCAGTGGTGCAATCTCAGCTCACTGCAGCCTCCACCTTCTAGGTTCAAGCTATTCTTCTGCCTCAGCCTCCTGAGTAGCTGAGATTACAGGCAGGTGCCACCAAGCTCATCTAATTTCTATAGTTTTTTTTTAGTAGAGACAGAGTTTCACCATGTTGGCCAGGCTAATCTTGAACTCCCGACCCCAGGTGATCCGCCTGCCTCAGCCTCCCCAAGTGCTGAGATTACAGGTGTGAGCCACCGCGCCCAGCCTGAGGAGAACTTTTCTATGCCTCTTTGTCTTGCCTTCTCTTTTGCACTTCTTTCCTCGCCTTCCTTTCCAACTCTTTGCTTTGTTTCTTTCCATCTTCTGTATCAGGCAGCAATTCCTTTAAACATTCTTTGATGTTATTGGTAGCCCTTACACCTGAATAGGTGAAGCCTATCTCAGAGTCAATCATTCATTCCAGCTGAAAGTGTTAGTTTACTTGGTAAGTGCAATGTGCTGGAAGAAACAGCTATTCATGCCTGTGAAACATTGGTTAAATATACTTTTTTTTTTTTTTTTTTTTTTTTTTTGAGACAGAGTCACATTCTGTTGCCCAGGCTGAAGTGCAGTGGCACAGTCTTAGCTCACTGCAACCTCCGCCTCCCAGGTTCCAGTGATTCTCCTGCCTCAACCTCCCAAGTAGCTGGTATTACAGGTGCGCACCACCACACCTGGCTAATTTTTTCTATTTTGAATAGAGATAGTGTTTCACCATGTTGGCCAGACTGGTCTCAAACTCGTGGCCTCAAGTAATCCAGTCACCTATGGTTCCCAAAGAGTTGGGATTACAGGTGTGAGCTGTCACACCTGGCTGGTTAAATATACTGTAGTTACTGCTCCTTATGCCTGGTAGCCGTAAACTCCATTTCTTATTCAAAAGATTTTATTTAAAAGCTAAATGTAGTGGCTTCTTTGCTCCTTTTCCAGATTTACCCAGGCAGTTAGTGACTCTCACTACAGATTTTTCATACCTCTCTCATAACCCATATTAAGACTGTTTTATTATTATTTGTTTATATACTTTTACTAGTCTGTGAACTTTTTCAAGCGTAGGAATTGTATTTTTTTCTCAGATTTGGTATATGATCAACAAATGTTTGTTGACTGTCCATTCTTCTTTGAATAGGACTTATTCCCTGTTTTCAAGGAATTTACCCTCTAATAAGGGTCATTAATTACAGGTAACCATGGTACAAACTAGAATACCGTTAGTGCAGCAGAGAAGGAAAATATCACTGCTTGGTGTGGGAAGTAGTAACACCTATTACTCCAGGCTTTGTTGATGAGGTAGCAGTTGAAATGGGCCTTGAAGTATGAGTGTGAAATGTGGCATTAATGAAATTATATTAGTTTTTTGTACTTCTTGATATTTTTATTAGCAGTAATTTAGGTTCATGGGAGCTATATTGTTTGACATGTGTTCCAAAGCCTAACCTATAAATCATCTAGGTATTACTTTATCTATTTTTTTTGCTATTACTTTTCCTATAAATCATTCTTCAGTTGATTTATACAAAGGAATACATCTTGTGGGGTTATCAGTATATACTCTCTTTTTGTGGGTATCCGTCTTAAATTCAGGCATTAATATTTGAGACTATGTTTTCAACTGTATGAATGTTATTAGCCAAAAGAAAATGTGAAATTTGATGTCTTGGCTGGATTTGATGGCTCATGCCTATAATTCCAGCACTCTGGGAGGCTGAGGCAAGAGGATCACTTGAACCCAGGAGTTTGAGACCAGCCTGGACAACATGGCAAAACCCCATCTCTACAAAAAATACAAAAATTAGTCAGGCATGGTGGCGCATGCCCATAGTTCCAGCTACTCAGAAGGCTGAGATGGGAGTATCACTTGAGCCTGGAAGATTAAGGCTTCAGTGAGCCATGATTGCATCACTGCTCTCCTGCCTGGGTGACAGATTGAGACCCTGTCGAAAAAAAGAAAAGAAATTGATGTCTTACTGTTCTATTTCGTATATTTTCTTTATTCGTTTTAGCCACTGACCCCTTTGCTTCTGTTTTTGGGAATGAATCATTTGGAGATGGATTTGCTGACTTCAGCACATTGTCAAAGGTAATCTACTGTAACTAATGGGAAGGGAAAAAACATACTGTATTTCCACCAAAAGAGCAATCCTCCCTTTGATTACATAGTCCTCTCACAAAGTTGCAGCTTGATTTCAGTATATCACAGCAAATGTTGATTTCAGATAGAAATGAAAGATAACATAGTTAAACTAGACATATTTCTTTATATAACTAGACTGTATTGGTGGTAGAGGTAATTATAGTTTTCTATTGGCATGTTTGCTCAGCAACTTCATATTTAGTCTTCTGTCTTTTTAAATATGTTTCTCCCAATTGAACCACATTTCTACCCTGTTCACGGTCTGGGTCAATAGCTCTAAAATATGGGTGTTCATTTCATCCTGTCTGTATCGGTTACTTGATTTTATTTTCTGAGGTTGTTAGGGTCAGCAGTAAGGTAATTAATACACAAAGTCCAGTAGTAAATGTCCACTGCTTATTTTGCAGGGTAGCTGTGGTATTGACGCAGGCTAAGAGAAAAGGAGGATTAGATTGTATATCAAATTGTCCATATCATTGGTTCCTTGGTTCTCAGCCGAGGGTTATTTTGCCACCAGAGGAACATTTGGCAATATCTAGAGACCTTTTCGTTTTTCACAACTGAGTAAGAGATGCTACTCATATCTAGTGGATAGAGACGAGGGATGCTATTTAATACAGTCCACTCTCTAGCCTGCCACAATATGCAATTATTGTTAAACCTCGGGTGGTTTTGCATTGAATATTTCCTGAAGCTTGACAAACCTTTAATCTATATTTAGCTTTTTTGGCTTATCTGTTAATCTTAATAAGTAGTGATGTTAGAATCACTACTTATATAGAATAACTTTTTAAAAGAAATTTCTCCCGTTGGAGCCTGAATGCAAAGGTTAAATTTAGTCAGTGGTCTCAGAACCAAAATAAATAAAACTATATAATACTTAAATTATTATTCTAAATGCTACATGACCACCACAGTTTGCTTGGTGTAGCCATGTATAACCATTTTTTTGTTAAACAAAGGTCAACAACAATGAAGACCCTTTTAGTTCAGCCACATCGAGCTCTGTCAGCAATGTAATGATTACAAAAAATGTATTTGAGGAAACATCAGTCAAAAGTGAAGATGAACCCCCAGCACTGCCACCAAAGATCGGAACTCCAACAAGACCCTGCCCACCACCACCTGGTATGAGAGTTGGTACTTTTCTTCAGAGAACTACATAGATTTTCTCTTTCTGAAAAGTACTGTGCACAACTTACTTATATAAAGGGCTTTAAATGAAGCAAGTCAAACATATGCAGAAGCCTGTTGCTGTCTTTCATTCTGACCTAACTGCAGAATTGCAGACATGTCCCTAAGAGGTTAGCATGTATAACTTTCATGAGCTGTCTTTCAGCCAAGACCTTTTTCTTTTTTTTCACTTAATCATTTCAGAGAGGCAATAAATGGAAAAGGGAAGTGTTAAGGAAAATTTCTTTGCCTTTTGGAAACTTATTATCAATTTGAATAGCAGTTTCCTGCACTTTGGTGTTTTAATTATAATTTATTTAACAGAAGATTGTTTAAAAGTCCTTTTCCCATAAAGTGTAAAGTCTTCCTTAAATCCTTTAATATGAGAATATATGGCCTTTTTAGTATCCAGAATTCAGCAGTATAGTGATTTAAAACAAAATACTGGTTTTGTTCAAGGAAAATGGTATTTTAGCTAACTTAAAAGACTCATTTTTTGTGTTTGTTTGAGACAAAGTCTTGCTCTGTTGCCCATGCTGGAGTGCAGTGGCACAGTCTCGGCTCACTGCAACCTCCGCCTTCCGGGTTCAAGCAATTCACCTGCCTCAGCCTCCCAAGTGGCTGGGATTACAAGCATGAGCCACCATACCCAGCTAATTTTTGTATTTTTAGTAGAGATGGGGTTTCACCATGTTGGCCAAGCTGGTCTCGAACTCCTAACCTCAAGTGATCTGCCCACCTTGGCCTCCCAAGGTGCTAGGATTACAGGTGTGACCCACCACTCCTGGCCAAGACTCTTATAATAGCAATTTTTTTCTCTTATTTTTGTTTGTTTGTATGTATATTTAGTATGTGTGTGTATGTATATGTTTAGCATTATACAAAAGAAAGTTTGTTTTGTTTTTAGGTCATAATAAGTAGCTAAAAGGATAATTCCTTAAGTAGTTGTAGTGCTGTTGGGCTATTATGTGCGAAGACACATTTTAGTACCTTTTTAAAAAAATCATACCTCATTCCTTGGGAAATTTTCAGTCTCAGTAGTTATAGATTAGTACTCCCTTTTCATCATAACCTTTCCATGGTCTTACAGATAATATTTTTCTTTGGCTGAAACAATTTGATGTACAATTGTAAATACCCGATAATCTGTTGGAAAATCAGGTAAATGAGTTAAGTGATTCTAAGAAAAAGTATCTTATATCATATATTTCTGGAAGTGAGGTTGTCAGAATGTATTTAAAAATAAGTAACGGTTAATTTGCACATTTAAGTTTTTACACCTGTATGATGCCAATAGTGAGGTTGTTTTTTTTGAATCTCAAGTAAAATAATGTACTAGTGCATTTATTAAATCTAAGAATCTTCAGCAAAGTGCTTGTATATCATTATAAGAAGATTAAGAAAGAGTGGTTTGTTGGAAAGAGCGCTGGACTGGGAGTCTAAAAATCTAGGTTCTGTTTCTGGATGTTCCCTAACTGTGATCTTAAGTGTATAATTTCATTTATCTGAGCCCTGGCTGTTAAATGGTGGCAGTAATTCTAATTTTGTCTACTTTCACAGGATTATTGGAAGGATCCATTGAGATATGAGCATCTTTTCTAAGCAGTTACATTGATGGAATCTGTTGTTACGATTGCTATTACCAGCTAAATGCATTTTAGGAAAAGAATATATTTGAAGATATTTTGACCCCTATTTTTATTATTTTTTCTTCAAGAAGTACTAAGTTTAAGTAAGACTTAAAGTTAGAGAACTTGTTTGAAAATAGTAATGAATTAATGAGTGACTAACAGGACAGGATACTGTTGTAGGGTCAGAGATTAGTTGATCAACAACCACACAGATTTAGGTCCTGGGCTTCAAAACATTTTTTTCTTCATTTTGAAATACAGTATATGACAAAAAGTTGGCAGGGTTTTACTAAGGTAATTTAAAATTTTATGCTCCCAGGTATTGTATGTAGAACCAGAGAAAAATTAGAAGAATTTTGTCATTTTTCAGAGGTCATTTGCTCTTATTACCACTAGTGGATAACTGTTATCAGGCTGAGGGTTGTAACAGAGACAGGCCACTTCTGTCTTTATTCTTTATTATTTTCCTTCTGTTTAATCCATTTCTCTCTCACTCTACTTGGAAACGTCCTACTGGGTGTGGCCAGGAAAGGGTAGGATTCAATCTCTGGACAAAAATACTATTCCTGGCCCATCCTTGCTTTGCTATTTTTTTAATTAGCTGCGCATAGCTGAAATGTATTTGAGAGATTGTGTGTGAAGAATTTGAGGACAGATCATTGGTATAGCCATTTAAGACAATATTAAGGATGTGTTTTGGGTACTCAATTATCCTCCACCCACAGTACTTTAATGCTATCTGTGTATATGTTCTTGTGTGCTTGTATTTGCTGTATTTACTGGTTGAGTTAATTGTAATGATTTTGATCCAGGGAAAAGATCCATCAACAAATTGGATTCTTCTGATCCCTTTAAACTGAATGATCCATTTCAGCCTTTCCCAGGCAACGATAGCCCCAAAGAAAAAGATCCTGAAATGTTTTCTGATCAGTTCACTACTTCTGCTACTACCACTACCAATAAAGAGGCTGATCCAAGCAATTTTGCCAATTTCACTGCTGTAAGTACTGTGAAAGAGCTGTTTGGGGGAAAAATTGTTCCATTTACACTTTAAAGAGTTTTCAAATATTATTTTGGAGTCTACCAAGTTTGCATCACTTCGACTAAATTTGCAAAGATAGTAAAAATGATCTTTCATTCTTCCCCCAAGTAAAACCTCTGTTTGATCCTGCTTTGATGGTTCTATGGTTGTTTTGTTGCACAATTGATTTTAGTAGTCCTAGTTCTTGTCATATATACAAATTTTTTGTAAATCTTTCTCTTAGTCCTGGTAATGTAAGTAAAATCCTAACAGTTATTATTTTGTGGATGATTATGGATGATAGTGACTTAATAAACAATTAGTCATTGCTGTCTGCCCATTAGATGAATAATGCCAGTAATAAGTTTGTGTATTTGCAGCTATGTATGTGTGTTTGTGTATAAAGTTTTAATGATTTCTGGAGAGGATAGGGCCAGGGATTCTTTGAATAGAAAGTAAAACTATTATATAGCGGCTTTTTAAAAATGTAAATGCCAGTTTTATGAAATAAATAAATAAATGATTGTCAGGATCTAAATAATCTTTCGTTTTTTGGAGGACTCTAATTCACTAACTTTTCATGTGTTTACTCTGCTCTCAGAGACGTCTAAAATAGGAAGATCATTAGAAACAATGGAAGGGTGCCATGATAACAACTTAAACAGGGCCTGTAAAATCATGGAAATGGGGCAACCAACCATGGAGGTATCAGTCTAGAGGGACATAAAGCACTGTCATATATTTCATCATTAGTCAGTAAAAGCAAATTATCTTTTAATAAAATACTTAGACTGGGTAACAGAGTTTCAGTTTCCCTGTTTTTTCAGGCAAAATGATCTTCATTATCACTGCCTGGTCTATAAAACAGGAATTTTCTTCTATTTATCACCTTACATCCTTGAGATGATTTTTGAAATAGGAGATCTAGTGGCCAGGTAACACTGCCTGATAGTTACCTCCTCAATATAGCATTTGGTTATTCAACCAGTTGCTTTAATCCTGCAGGTGTTTCTAGTTAGGAGGTTGTCAAGAATCTGCATGCAGGCTGGGTATCGTGGCTCACACCTGTAATCCCAGTATTTTAAGAGGCCAAAGTGGGTGGACTGCTTGAGCTCAGGAGTTCAAGACCAGCCTGGGCAACATGGTGAAACCCCATCTCTACAAAATATACACAAATTAGCTGGGTGTGGTGGCATGCACCTGTAGTTCCAGCTACTTGGGGGACTGAGGTGGTGGAGGTTGCAGTGAGCTGTGATCATGCCACTGCACTCCAGCCTGGGTGACAGAGCCAGACCCTGTCTCAAAAAACAAACAAACAAACAAAAAATCTGCATGCAAGTAAGACAGCTGAGCTCCCTAGCTTTTGAATCTGTACTCTAAGTTCCGGTGGCTCCTCTTGAATATGAAGGAGCAAAATAGGAATCAATATTTTGAATATTGTAAAAATGGAGTGTCAGAATTATATTGACTTAACTTTCATTAGATGGAATTTGATTTGTTTAAAGTAGAGAATCAAAAATTCGCCTTTTTAGGTTATAATTATCTTAGTATAAAATAACCCTCTGGTAGTTTGTGTCATCTAATATCTTAAACATAGCTTTAGCAAGTCAAAATCTGGTTGGGGCCAGACATGGTGGGGCACACCTGTAATCTCAGCAGTTTGGGAGGCCAAGGTGGGCAGATCACTTGAGGTCAGGAGTTTGAGACCAGCCTGGCCAACATGGTGAAACCCCAGCTCTACTAAAAATATAAAATTAGCCAGGCTTGGTGGCACATGCTTGTAATCCCACCTACAGAGGCTGAGGTGGGCAGATCACTTAAGCCCCAGAGGCAGAGGTTGCAGTGAGCTTAGATAGTGCCACTGCCCTCAAGGCTGGGTGACAGAACGAGACAGCATCTAAAAAAAAAAAAAAAAAAAAAAATCTGGTTGGAAGGAGTCTTGAACAACAGCCGAGGCATTTTGCTCCAAAAATCTCAATATGGTATAATAAACAGCAGCTTATAATAAAAGCATCTTCTTTTTTCATTGTGAAAGATGTGTTGATTGTTACATGTTTCAAAGTTTTGCTTAATTCCCTAGGGAAAAAACTACCATTTTCAAAAGCCTAACAGTTTATTTTATTTCATCCTTTTATGAAAGATTTCCCTACGTGACAACTTGAAACGAATTAGAATTTTTAATTTCGTATTTGCCAAGGTTGCTGTTTAGGATAGATAGAATATTTCCCCAACATAGTAAGTATGGGTGTTAAGATTTTATTTAGACTGGTCTAAAAGTTCTGAAAGCCTGGAGAAATCTTCAAAAAAAATTTTTTTTTTTTTTTCGCTCCGTTGCTCTGGCTGGAGAGCAGTGGCATGATCACAGATCACTGCAGCCTCAACTTCTCAGGCTCAGGTGATCCTCCCAAGTAGCTGGGACTACAGACATGCATCACCACACCTGGCTAATTTTTTTTTTGTAAAGACAGCGTTTTGCCATGTTGCCAAGATGAACTTCTTGAACTTCTGAGCTCAAGCAATTGGCCTGCTTTGGCCTCCCAGAGTACTGGGATTACAGATGTCAGCTACCATGCCTGGCTCAAAATGCTCTTTATAAAATATGATTAAGTTCTTAGGAGGCTGAGGTGGGTGGATCACCTCAGGTCAGGAGTTCAAGACCAGTCTGACCAACATGGAGAAACCTCGTCTCTACTAAAAATACAAATTTAGCCAAGCATGGTGGTACATGCCTGTAATTCCAGCTACTCAGGAGGCTGAGGCAGGAGAATCACTTGAATCCAGGAGGTGGAGGTTGCAGTGAACCAAGATTGCCACATTGAACTCCAGTCTGAGCAACAGGAGGGAAGCTCCATCTCCAAAGGAAAAAAATATATATATATATTAGGTTCACATTACGTCTTGCTTAGTATACCCAATACTTTGATATGATGTATAGCAAAATCAGCGTGCTTGCTTGCTTGCTTGCTTGCTTTTCTTCTTCTTAGCTTTTATACACATTAAGGGCTAAGAAACTACCAGTGTGATTAGGTTAAAAATGATTTATTGTGTGAGGGTCTCAGCAAAGTTGAAGTGGTAAATGTTTTACATTACATTAGATCAAAAAGCCTAGCCCTTTCCTGTTTTTAAATCTTCTAATCTATTATAAGCATTTCTACATTTTTTAGTGATATATATATCTATAATAGATATATAGATATGTATAGTTGCTGTTGTTGAGATGGAATTTCACTCTCATCCAGGCTGGAGTGCAGTGGTGCGATCTTGGCTCACTGCAACCTCCACCTCCTGGCTTCAAGTGATTCTTGTGTATCAGCCTCCTAAGTAGCTGGAATTACAGGCACTGCCACCATGCCTGGATAATTTAGTTGAAACGGGGTTTTGTCGTGTTGGCCAGGCTGGTCTCGAACTCCTGACCTCAGGTGATCGATCCACCTGCCTCAACCTCCCAAGTGTTGGGATTACAGGCATGAGCCACCACGTTCAACCTACTGATATTTTAACATTTACTTTTGTAGACTTTCTATCTGTAGACTGAATTAATTTTTTAAATTAAACTACAGTTTTATAAATTTTTTACATTAATTTTTAAATTAAACTTCAGTTTTTAAATTAAACTACAGTTTAATAACTGGTTAATATTAAACATGTTTTCAGGAAAAAAAAAGAATTAACAAGTAACCAGACTATTTCCAGAGCCCTTCAGGTGAAACAAGTTAATGTCCTTTTGTAAAAACAATTTTTCCTTCTTTTTATTTGATTTACTCATTTATTTATTCATTTGTTCATCAATCTTTTAAATGGCAGTATACCTCTGAAGAAGATATGATCGAATGGGCCAAGAGGGAAAGTGAGAAAGAGGAAGAGCAGAGGCTTGCCCGACTGAATCAGCAAGAACAAGAAGACTTAGAACTGGCTATTGCACTCAGTAAATCTGAAATATCAGAAGCATGAAGAATTCTCTTGTTCTTTGTCAACAATGTAGTACTCTTCTTCCTGAATACTGAAACTATTTACAATGTATATCAAAACTACCTGTGAGCATGGGAATACAAAAGGTTTGATATTCCTGTAAATGTGACAAAATTTTAGGATTTTTTTTCTTTATTATGGATTCATCTTTTTTTTTTTTTTTTTCTTATAAAAGCCATAACCCAATCTAATTCACCTTCACTTAGGCCCCTGTTCTGGCATACATTTACTGTGAGCTTTTGCTGCCTGTGCTATTTTACTTGTAAAGCTAAAGCACCCAAGCCTCTGCCTTCTGGAATATAGAGAAATAGTTACCCTGCACAACCCTTGTTCTGTAGTTATTCTGATGATAGCTAGGGGGGTTCTAAAAGCTTGCAGTATTCTCCCTTGATTTGAATGATTGAGTGAGGTTAAGGGCAATAATATCCTATTTATTTTATGATTGGTGCAAATTGGCTAAAGTGCATTTTAAAATTTCCTTATAGTAAAAATATTACTTAATTTGTTTTTTTAGAGACAAAGAAAAATATTTTGCACAGATTGACTCCACTATGGAAAAGGGACACTTTCAATTGAACCATTATAGCCTCAGATTCTATCTTTTTCTAACTAAAAACATTAAAGTCTTATGTGTGAAATAAATTTTAAAAAACATTTATCTGGATTTAAAGAATTTTAGATCAACAGATACTTCTTGGTGTGTTTGCTAATTAATAAAAATCAGTTTCTTACAAATAAAGTTTGTAAGAAAATGTTCATTTTAAGTGTTATATAGTGGAGAAAATGTATCACCTAAAATATACCTATCAACATAAAGCAAGTAAAAATCTTACCGTGGCGGCCATTCCGCCTCTGCCGTGGCCCTGTCCTGTTCAGTTCTTAATGGGTTTATTTTTGTACTTTTGCAAAAGAAACTTCAACAGGCTAGAACTGGAAGGTACTTTAAGTTTTCACACATACTTGTTTTTCTTTAATGAAGGCTCATTTACTTGAAATGTAGAAACTTTCACTGAATACAAATAGAAAAAATGATGTGTATCATATCATATTGCTTTTTGTCCATCTTTGTGGTTTAGTTTATTTACTTCATGTTTTTCACCTATACAATTGTCAAGCTAGCAAAAAAAAATCTTGTTTCTTTAATTGGGAGAGAAGGTACCTGCTAGATTATCAAAACTCTTCACATGTTAAAAGACCATCTCCTGTAAAACTGACCTAGTGGATAAGCTGATTTGAAATAGACTGTGAAGTAAGCGGTAATTTGTCATTTTAATTTTGTTTAACATGGTTACTGACCTAGATGATGTATTGAATACCAAGATAAAGAAAAATGCACCTAAAAACTAATTAGAATTCTCTGGGTCGCCAAGTCAAGGTGATATTGATCTGTATTAATCTGAGTAACTTATTGCCTAGCCTATAAATAAATTCCAAAATATCCAATTCATTCCTTGTTGAAATGGTGCTTGTTTTCTTTTCTTTCCGTTACACAATTGGACTCCTACAGTTTAAAACAAACTTTAAACCACTATCTTGCACTGTTAACTTTTTTCCACCTTTGTAAATAGAAACATACCTGCATAAGAGTCATACATATGAAGCAAGGGCTGAATCTTAATTACAGGGCTTTAATTTTGATGAACGAATCCAGTGACCTAAGGATTTTCTGCAAAAATTGACTGGGAAGTGTTGGGAGTTGTGATAAGTGGCATTTTTGTTTGTTTTCTTCCTCTTACTCCTTAGGATAAAGGTAAGTTGACTTGAACAACCTTCTTTTACACTGGGAAAATAAGCAAATGTTTGAAATGCTTTAAAAAAATATTTTTTAATTAAAACACTCGAAAATATTAACTATAACTTATAAACACCAACTTTCAATGTAATACATGTATTCTAATCTTATGTATGTTTAACTGGATTACATAGATTTTTATCTTTTGTTAAAATATATATGCTCAGTGGACCAATATAATATTAAAGTACGTATATATTATATAAATATATATCTATATCTATGTGCTCGCTTGTGTAGGATGAATGTCTTAGAGTCATTTGTGATATTTTATGTTGTTGACTCTGGCTCCAGGGCCTGTGTTTAAAAAGGACAGATAAGTATTGCCAAGAGCTGAGTGGCCCTACTTACAAAGTTTTAAACATCTTCTACATGCTGATTCATGTTTATTTGGGCTCTCTTTATAGAATTTTCTCTTAAAGTTTCAAACTTCTAAGTTATAGCCTGTAATTATGAGAACAATAAACTTTAATAACAATAAAGAATACTATCCATATATCCAATTTGCAGTGGAGTTTTGCATGGTTATCTGATTATGTCCATGCTGTGTCCAAGGAAGAGGAGGTATATACAGTCAGCACAGATGAATATGTGTCTCTACAAAAAAATACAAAAAATTGACCAGGTGTGGTGGTGTGTGCCTGTAGTCCCAGCTACTGAGGTAGGAGGATTTCTTGAGCCCAGGAGAATGACGCTGCAAAAAGCCAAGATTGCACTGCTGCACTCCAAACCTAGGCAATAGAGCAAGACTGTGTCTCAAAAAAAAAAAAAAAATTGTGACATGGACTTTTGGAAGGCACTATGTTCTAATAAATTCGTGCAGTACTCGGACTGAATCTCTTTCTGCCATTTGTGAGGATGTAATGTAAAGATGACTTTGAGAAAGTTATTTAGCCTCCCTGAATCTCATTTTCCTCATCTAATGTACATCATAGTACTTACAGGATTGTTCTAAAGGATTTAGCTCTGATGGCTTTTAAATATTATTTATTTTTAAGCAGATTCAATCACAATATTACTAATACAAAAATAGCTGTTGGTTGTTGAATGTACATTGTATGTGAAGCACTCTACTAGGCATTTTATGCATGTTTTCTTGTTTAATCTTCACAATACCCCTAAGTAGTAGATATTGTCCCCTGTTTTAGAAATGGAGAAACTGAGGCTTTAAAATGTTAAAATAATGTGCTTCAGATTATCCAGCTGATGAGAAGATGAGCCAGGAACTGAACCCTGGTCTGTCTCATACTCTTTACAATTTACCATGCTTTATTTTGTGTGAAAAAAATTTACTTATAAGCCATTGTAGGAACAGTACATGATAAATAATAATAATAAATAATATTAAGCTCCAGGCATGATCCTAAGTGCTTTACTTTTAGTTTATTTAATCTTCACAATAGTAACCATGAAAGGTATAGGTACTATTATCTTCTCAATTTTATAGAAGAGGAACACAAAGTAGGCCACAGTTATGCAGCTAATAAGCGGCAGAGCTGGAATTTGAACCTAGGGGATGGGCTCCAGAGTTTTAACTACTACTCTGTATTCCTGTTTTTTTGTTTTGTTTTGTTTTTTTGAGATGGAGTTTTGCTCTTGTTACCCAGGCTGGAGTGCAATGGCGCGATCTCGGCTCACCGCAACCTCTGCCTCCTGGGTTCAGGCAATTCTCCTGCCTCAGCCTCCTGAGTAGCTGGGATTACAGGCACGCGCCACCATGCCCAGTTCATTCTTTGTATTTTTAGTAGAGACGGGGTTTCACCATGTTGACCAGGATGGTCTCGATCTCTTGACCTCGTGATCCACCCGCCTTGGCCTCCCAAAGTGCTGGGATTACAGGCTTGAGCCACCGCACCCGGCTTGTATTCCTGTTAATGATGAGTAGTCGGAGCAAGGTCACAAATGAAATAATCCATGCAATCTCTGTTCTCGATGATTAATGGAATAAACCTGTATTATACATGGCATAAAACATTTTCCAATTCATTCTTGTATTTAACTCTTATGATGGTTTAGAACAGTTTCTGACACATGAAAGCATTTATGATTATTAGTGTTATCATAAGTGATAAGTATATGGGGGGAGTAGCCAGCCTTGCTTTCAGTTTTTCTTTTTTCTTTTTTTTGAGACAGAGTTTTTGCTCTTGTTACCCAGACTGGAATGCAATGGCGCGATCTCGGCTCACCGCAACCTCCGCCTCCTGGGTTCAAGCAATTCTCCTGCCTCAGACTCCTGAGTAGCTGGGATTACAGGCACGTGCCACCATGCCCAGCTGATTTTTTGTATTTTTAGTAGAGACGGGGTTTCCCCATGTTGACCAGGATGGTCTCAATCTGTTGACCTCGTGATCCACCCGCCTCGGCCTCCCAAAGTGCTGGGATTACAGGCTTGAGCCACCGCGCCCGGCCTCTCAGTTTTTCTTTATTTGTAGAGACAGAGTCTCACTCTGTTGGCCCAGGCTAGAATGCAGTGGCACAGTCATAGCTCACTGTAAGTGTGAACTCCTGGGCTCAAGGGATCCTCCCACCTCAGCCTTCAAAGTAGCTAGGGCTATAAGTGCATGCAACTGTACCTAGTTATTTTTTTATTTTTATTTTTGGTAGAGCTAGAGGTCTCACTCTGTTGCCCAGGCTGGCTTGAACTCATGATTCTACCTCCTCAGCCACTCAAAGTGCTGGGATTATAGGCTTAGCCCAACCTTGTTTTAAATAGCATGGGGAGAAATGCCAGATATAGGTGAAGGGGAGGAAGGCAGCAAATCACACTGCCATGTGTGTACCTATGCAACAGTCTTGCCTGTTCTCATGTACCCCAAAACCTAAAATGCAATAAAAAATAAAAAATAAATGTAAAACCAAAAGCCTAGGAAAAAAAATGAAAAGTAATTTATCAGTACTGATAAGGCTCTGAAAAGAGTACATTAAAAGGGAGGCAGAAAGTAAGTTTTGAAGAGTTTGAAGTAGCTCGGTGTGACCAGAGTGTAGGTTTGGGAGCAAAAGACTGAGGTGTTTGTAAGAAAGATTTCATTGGTAGTGATTTGGGGAATTGGTAGAAGAAAATCAGTTAAGGCAGGGAGAGCAGGTAGGTTGTTGCAGTCATGCAGGTGAGATGGTTAAGAACTTAAAATGTGGTTGTGGCTGGGGCCTAAAAGAAGGGTGCCAAATCGAAAAAAATTTAGGAGAATTAACGAGCCTTGAGGTCTGATTAGATGTAGGTGGTAAGGGAAAAGGAGTACTCAAAATTTAGCAAGCAATAGGATCACCTGGAGGGTGTGTCAAACTACAGATTGCTGGACTCTAGCCCCAGGGTTTCTGATTCAGTAGGTACAGAGTTGGACCCCAGAATTTACATTTCTAACAGATGATGGTGATGTTTCCAGATGATGGTGATGTTGGCTCCAGGATCTCACTTTGAGAACCACTAGAGTAGGTGATAATTTCTAAGTCTCTTTTGTTTGCAAGTTTTATTAAATCCATTCATTTATTCTGCAGTGCTGTTCTACTTTGTCATGCTATACTTGACCTGTGGATTCTGCTTGGTAACCTCTAATCTTTCTTATGGATACACAGTTTTTAAAAGTAACAATTGTAGGCTGGGTATGGTGGCTCAATCCTGTAATCTCAGCACTTCGGGAGGCCGAAGTAGGCAGATCACTTGAGGTCAGGAGTCTTGAGACCAGCCTGGCCAACATGGTGAAACCCCGTCTCTACTAAAAATACAAAAATTAGCTGGGCATGGTGGTGCATGCCTGTAGTCTCAGCTACACTCAGGAGGCTGAGGCAGGAGAATCACTTGTACCTTGAAGGTGGAGGCTGCAGTGAGCCAATACCACACCACTGCACTCCAGCCTGGATGACAGAGTGAGACTCTGTCTCCCCCCCAAAAATAAATAAAAATAATAATTGCAAACTAACACTTACATAGCACTTACTTTGTGCTCAGTACTATTTAAAGTACTGTATATATACTGATTAACCTCCATAACATGCTTTTAAGTTAGGTACTGTTATTCCCAGTTTACAGATGAGAAGGCTGAGAAGTACAAAGAGGTTACATAATTTGTCCAAGGTCACAGAGCTAAAAAGTGCCAGAGCTAGAATTCCAACTCAGGCAGTTGGCCAGGAGTGGTGGCTCACACCTATAATCCTAGCACTTTGGAAGGCCATGGCGGGTGAATCTCCTGTGGTCAGGAGTTCCAGATCAGCCTGGCCAACATGTCCAAACTCCGTCTCTACTAAAAATACAAAATAATAATAATTAGCTGGGCATGCTGGCGGGCAGCTATAATCCCAGCTTCTTGGGAGGCTGAGGCAGGAGAATCGCTTGAACCAGGGGTGGGGGGGTGGGGGGGGGCAGAGGTCGCAGTGAGCCGAGATAGTGCCACTTCACTCCAGCCTAGGTGAAAAAGCGAAACTCCATCTCATAAAACAAACCCAGGCAGTCTGACTCAAAAATTCATGTTTAATCACTGTTCTGCTGGAAAACAAAAAATAAGGTACTTTTTTCCTTTGATGCATGGATCTACAATGTACCTTTCACTTCCAGAAAGCTATTGTCTTAGTTTTGAAAATGCACAGTGAGAAAGTCATTATTCCATTGACCTTTGCTAAGACCTGCTGTGTGCTGCACCAGGGACAGAGAAGACTCATATGAGGGCCTTGCCATTAGTGGTATAGTAGGGAAGATAGGTATCTACTTACATAATTTCACTGCATTGCATACTGAAGATTACCTTAGGAGTGCTGGGATGCCCATAGTTCTAGCTGAGAGGATTGGGAAAGTCTTCCCAGAGGAGGTGTCCCCAGAACATCATATTGTTACTAGCATTACTAAAAACATACATGGTGACTGTTGGAATTTTTGTTGTTGTTGTTCTTAAAGCACAGCTCTCACAAGGCCACATCATTTGATGTTAGGGCTCTGTTGACTAGAAAAGGCTTAGCAGTCTCCTAGGAGGCATCATTTAAATAGCATTCATTACTTTAGTGAATTCAGCCTGATCCAAGATCTGACCTTCAAGTTTAGAAACCTGATTTTCATCAGTAAAACAGATCTCTCATTAAGCAGTTTCACAGGGACTGATACAAATACCAGAATGTCACTTTCCAGTAAAAATAAAGTTGCGAAGGGGCTTGGAGTGACCAGTTTGTTGAACATGACTCCTCCCTTGCTGGTGCTTGGATACCTCCTCCCTCTGAGGTGCCTCTTGATCTCTGCAGCCAGGAATGCCTGGGCCCCTCTCATGGACACATTTTTCAGATTAATATGTTTAATCAGGTTATAGTCTGGTTTGGCCGGTTGGGTAACTCTATAATGCCTCTTTGGAGTGACTTTGCATATCTTTGCTTTGATCCATTATATGTAAACTTTTCAGTATGTTAATGAGCATCATTTTTAAAATCATGAAATAGAATTCATTATTGAGTATGTACTGGGTCACAAGATAAAATGTTTGAAAGCCATTTATTTTTTTTAAATCTCTCCAAGTAAATGTAAG